CGGCCTGGTGGTGTGCGATAATGGGGGAAATCTCGTAGTAGCTCTGGGCCTAGCCGGTTTGCCGCACATACCTTGCCTGGTGCATGTGCTGAATTTAGTGGTGCAGAAATTCCTGAAAAACTACCCAGATATATCAGAGCTACTGCAGAAAGTGTGGGCTGTCTCAGCGCACTTTCGGCCTTTTCACCCTGCTGCTGCTGCTGTCTGTGCTGCAGCGTAACTTCAGCCTTCCCGCTCACTGCCTCATATGCGACGTGCCCACAAGATGGAACTCCACCTTGCACATGCTGGAGAGACTGTGCGAGCAGCAGCAGGCGATAGTGGAGTTTCATCTGCAGCACGCACGGGTCAGTCACTCTGCGGAACAGCACCACTTCACCACCAATGAGTGGGCCTCAATGCGAGACCTGTGTGCCATTTTGCACTGTTTCAAGTACTCCACCAACATGGCCAGTGCCGATGACGCCATTCTCAGCCTTAATATCCCACTTCTATGTCTCCTTGAAAAAAACGCTTCGGGCGATGATGGAAGAGGATGTGGCACAGGAGGAAGAGGAGGAAGAGGGGTCATTTCCACGGTTATCAGGCCAGTCATTCATAAGTGGCTTGGAGGATGGGTTCCTGCACCAGTATAGGCCAGGTACACAATTGTCCACCCAGGGCACAGTTCTGGAGGATGAGGAGGAGGATGAGGATGAGGAACTGTGTTCACAGCAGGGTGGCACCCAATTAACCCAATAAAAAAATAAATAAATAAATAAATAAAAAAAAAAAAAACAGTGTTGGCTACCTCCTCCTCCTCCACCGCCGCTTCCACCTACACCGCCACGGTCCCTGCCTCCTCAACCTATGGGTCACTTAGTAAAAACTATGTACACAATAGCAGAGACTTGTGAAGGCCTTTTCTCCATGCATCAGGAGTTGCACTCCAACCCTCTCTCAAATGGATAATTCTGGTGATCCTCCTGACAGTCATGCTTTAGATTTTGATTTATGTTCTTCCAAAGCTAAAATCAAAGATTCCATTTAGTACTGTTTTATGGCTCTGCTGTATTTTTAATTTATATGTATTTTATGTTATTTTAAGTGATTTCCCTATCCACATTTGTTTGCAGGGCACTTGTCCTACTCTTACCCCCATTTTACTTCCTTTTGCAGCCCTCTAGCCCTTTCCAGGAATTTTTTAGAGCCATTTTAGTGCCCAAAAGTTCGGGTTACCATTGACTTCAATGGGGTTCAGGTTCGGGGTCAAGTTCGAGCCCGAATTCTAACTTTTTGATGAAGTTCAGCCGAACAGGGCGAACCCGAACAGCCAGGTGTCCACTCAACTCTATGTATGACCAATTCTATTCATCTATTTTTGTCACATCTACTGAATACTACATAATTGCTTGTAGGATAAGGAGCACTAATAATCTCTAAAATGTTATACCATCCAATATCTATTTAAGGACTAAACAATTACATGAAAAAAAGAAATACAATATAAAATAAATTTTTAGCTTTAATAAACAGTACATGCTAGTTAAGCATGAATTGTTTCAAATAAATGCAATGATATTTATTCTTGGTCATGTAGGGATAAAGTGTGAAATAAATTATATTTAAAATGTTGCAGTATCTGTAAACATCTACTCAGAATGTTCTACTCTGAAAATTTTTAAATGATAATTTACTAAACTTTCTTCTACTAGGCTTTATTCTTTAGTGCCCATGGTACAAATTGACACAAGTAAATGATGTATTTTAAATACTAGGGAAGGTGGGAGTGAAAAATCAGTGTAGCTTGGCTGGTGTCAGGATTATTAATTGATCCAGCACGTAGAATTGTGTCATACCTAGGACTAAAAGGTAACGTATTACCGGGCCTTAGAATGGCCGGACTTAACGCACCAAAGAATAGTCAGGATACTTGCCGAGGTCAGGGGGTACAGAATGAGACACAGTGATAAGGGAAAGCCAGAAGTCAGGGATACCAGAATACAGGGAAGTCAAATTAAGCCAAAGTCAAATACCAGAAATAAACGCTCAGGAACACTCTCGGACAACCACTAGGGAAACCATGACAGGGCAATGAGGAAAAGTAAATTTGAGCTTAAATAAGTGCTTTGCATTTCTGATTGGCCCGAAAATGGCCTTTGACGTCATCGTCATTAATGTCATCATCATCAATGTGGGCGGACCCGCAGCGGCTGGCGTCCATCAACATGTTACAAGAGTCAGTTTTACAGATGCACGGCCACTGGGTGCAAATACCGTAAGGTGAGGAGGAATGTTACAGCTGGTAACTATATATAAAGAAATAAATCAGAACTAGATTTTCCTATTTCCTTATACATACTTGCCAGACACGATAAATAAAACCATAGGAATTCTGGCGCTTGTATGAGAGGAGTGTGGAAGCTTGTACTTCCAAAACCAGATCCTCTTTCTGGCTGTGAAGAGGTATTGTCTATAGGTAGTGTGGAGCAGGAGTTGAGGTCTGGAAGGAAAAGACAAGGACATTTAGAACCATCAGGAATAATGTGTGAAATCACTGCCCTCACTCATCCTGGACTTTTCACAAGACACTCTTTTATTTCCTATAAATGTATAATATATTATAAAATAATTAAAGCATTTTATAAAAAATAATATATATATATATATATATATATATATTATTACATTATAAGTGTATATATCTAAAAGTACACTTATAACGAAATCATTTCTTTGCATTATATATGTAGAATATATTATAAGACACTTTAACTATTTTATAATATTTAAAAAAAAAAAAATTAATTTAGGTTTGGGTTTTTTAACAACATTTTAGCTGTCTGGGGACTGCCTGGCAGCTCAGACAGCCCCCCTGCCGGCAGCTCCATAGACTCCTATTGTGGCCATGTGATCATGGTGATCACACTGCCCTGGAGGGCCGGGACTACAGCAGGGGGACTGCTGGGCTATCATGCAGGTCTGGAGAAAGGTTTAAGTCTGAACACCTTAAAAGTCCAGTCATAAGCATTATCAGTATTGTGCAAATCCCTAAATGCCTTTGTCCAATACCGGCACTTCAAAATGGAAGGCATACATTGCCTCAGAGACCTGCTCCTTCCCAGAGATTGGATGGTCAAACTAGACTTGCAGGATGCATATCTGACACGTATAATACCTCCAATTATTCCCCCCGTGCTATCTGGCAAAAGTTATATATTTTCTGTCATACACCCCCGTTGCTCCTTTGGATGAGTTGGGTATTACTCTTCTGACATATAAGACCTTGTTCTTAGTGGCTAACACAATGGCTAAATGAATGTCGGACATCCAGGCCTTTTCCAGTGACAATGATCATATTCAGATCTTTCATGATAGAATAATATTAAGACCTAGAATTGAATTCCTTCCTAAGGTAGTTTCACAGTTCCACATACTATAGGAAGTAGTCATTCCTTCCTTTAATGGACACCCTTCTTCTGCAGAAGAATAAAAACTTCATCAGCTGGATGTAAATAATTGTCTGATAAAATATCTGGAGGTCACTAAGCAATTTCGCAAGTCGCAACATTTAATTATTCTTCCGACTGGTTGCAAATAAGAGGATACTGCATCAACCGCTACTTTGAGACGTTGGATCTCTAACACTATAAAGAAGGTTTATTATTTGAAAGACCTAACTCCTCCAGAAAGGATGAAAAATCATTTGACTAGGGCATTGGCTACCTCATGGGCTAATTGGGCAGAGGTTTCATCTAATGATATCTGTAGGGCAACTACCTGGTCTTCTCTGGTGACTTTTATCAAACATTATAAGCTGGATCTGGCTTCCTCAACTACGACCATTGGGAGAGTAGTATTATTGTCAGTTAACTCCCACAAATAAAACTAATTTTGCAGCAAATTCGGAGTATCTTTATTTTTTTGGGTATTACCCATAAGTGATGCTGACATGAATAGCCAGGAAAACAGATTTTTTTTTACCATACCTACCATAACTTTCTTTTCCTGGCTTTTATTCCTGGCAGAATCAGCAACCATCCCTTGTTGTTCTGAGCTTTTAAAACTACTGTGAATGAGAGGGAGGAGGGACCTTTTATTTCTACAATCTGGTTCTAAATTATTAATTAACTGTTCCTGTTGGATGCAGAGCCAAGCCATAAGTGATGCTGCCATGAATAAAAACCAGGAAAGTAATATAACGGTAAGTATGGTAAACATTTTCTGTTATATGTATATATGTCAAAATACCGAAAAAACACAATTTTATTACAGACACGGAGGCTCCTATTATGCTTCTCTTTCTTTAATTTTCCCTCAGCAGCGAAGAGAGAAATGAGTATAAAAGAGAAAAATAGCATATCATTAACATATATACATATTCAACAGTGCTACATAAGAGAACCTCCCCCTTTCAGTATATAAGGTGTAGCACTCTCTTCCTCTTTCTTCGCTGCTCCCTCAGACCAGCTAAGTACCTTTATTACCTTACTTGCTGAAAAATCTGTCATTGGTATTTACTTTGACTATCCCCTGTTTTATTCAGGGCTTGTTTATGTTTCTTTTTAACTTTGTAAGATTCCTTCTACTATACTTTATTCCTTGTTGCTGGGGTGGGTTCAGGACCCTCTCTATTTCCCTATCTTTTGGGTTGCCTTGGCTCCCTGTGCTATATTGACCGGGTCCTTGTGTGGACCGGGTCCCCCCCGCGTTCCCTCCACCCCCCCTCGGCGGTTTTTCGGCCCCCAAGGCCCCTGCCTGCTGCACACCCGGGTGGGTACTTCCAGTTCCATTTCCGCCATGCGCTCGCGCTCTGTGCATGACATTTTGTTGGTTTCTTGTCGCCGGACATTTTAAATCACCTTACTTGGCGCTTTACTCGGCTGCATGCTCCCTGCTCCTGCCATCCACACAGGATCCGGGTATTCTCTCTGCAACTCTGTTCTGTGCTTGGATTAAGCAATCCAGCACCTTTTTCTCACTTGCTCTATAACTTTTATCTAGCCTTTTTCTCTGCCATCATGCAGTCTGCCAGTGCTGATTTAGCTGACCACCCTATCCCCCCTAGGGGCACCATAGGCTCTGTTTCCCAGGCTGACCCTAGCCTCATAGGCTCTGAGGAGTTCCAAAGCCTCCTGGATGCCACTATGTCAAACTCCATTAGCAAGGCCATCTCCTCTGCCATGAGAGCTATGTCCTCCAGTATCTCACAGTCCATCTCCCAGGCCCTTAGGCAGGCCCTCCCTGGGCCAGGACTGTCTCCCATTTCCCCTGAAGGGACTACTGCAGGACGTAAGGCGCTTGGCAAGTGCAAACACGCTATTGACCCCCCCCCATGCCCAAGTAAAGCCTGGTTTCATTGACACGCCTCAGGCTGTCAATGATGGCACGCAACAACCGCGCAATAGAGCTACTGGCCGGGCTACGGCGGCCAGAGAGTGGAAACGGGCACGGGCCCATGATTTATTGTCTGATTCAGACGAGGATGGGGAGGAAGGGTCAGATGACCAGTTCTCAGATCCCTACGGGGACGAGACCTCAGGAGACGCGGATCTCCCTGGAACACAATTCCCTTCCAGACCGGCTCAGGCCAAAGCACAGTCGGGGGCTCCTGAGACAGAGTCAACCCGTGACGCTAAGGATACCCTGGCATTTGATCCAGACAATCTCAGACACCCTCGCTCCGCTAAATGGGAGCCCGCTGAGCACATAGCTCAATACCTGGCCCTCAGAGTCCGCAAATCCCTCTCACAAGAGGGTCGTAACAAACTAAGGGCGGAATGCCCCCGCCCTAACATACCCGATGCAGTGGCAAAAAACCCTGAAGTGAAGACTGGTTGGAAGCCCAAAACGGGCCTAGACTACTCGCTGCGCAACTGTCATGACAAGTTCCTCGACACTCTGGACCCAGTCACCAAGCTGTAAACAGCTCAATTGAATGGGGCACCCTTAGACTTCGAAGTGGCGTTTGGATGGCTCCAAATACGCTATGTCGACAGAGCGCAGGAATGCCATCCTGCTAAAGATTGAGCCCAAGCTTGCGAGCATGGCCCCCAATGAACTCTGTGCCTCTGCAAAAGGCCTACTATTCGGAGAGTCCTTCGTAAAGGACCTGGGCTCCTATGTCTAGACCTTTACTGTTTTAGACAAAGCCCAATCCTCCATCAAACAGGTGTTCAGCCCAAAGGTTTGTGGCGGGGCCGGTAGAGGTAGGAGCCGTCTACCCGGCCGCAACCCCCGGGGCTTTTTCAACCCTCAGAGGCTGAACCAGGAACGGTCCTTCACCCCGTTCTTCCCCTCACGAGGACAGCCTTGGCATACCCGCGGCAGTCGAGGAGCACCCACGGGAAAACGCCCTTATGGTGAGTACCATTTTTCCCCATTCTTCCCATATATATGTGGGGGGCAGACTGGCCCTGTTCTATCGGGCTTGGACTTTGATCACGTCCGACAGTTGGGTGTTACAGATGGTAGAGGGTTACCACCTAGAGCTGACAGCTTTCCCCATTCAGGACACTCCCCCAAGGGCAATCCACATGCCAACATCACACCTCGATCTCATCTCTGCGGAGATCAGAGAATTACAGACCAAGAAGGCCATAGAGGAGATCCCTCTAGACACCCCAGGTTTCGTGAGCAACCTGTTTTTAGTGCCAAAAAAGGGAGGCAGGGTCCGCCCGGTTATAAACCTACGACCCCTAAATGCCTTTGTCCAATACCGGCACTTCAAAATGGAAGGCATACATTGCCTCAGAGACCTGCTCCTTCCCAGAGATTGGATGGTCAAACTAGACTTGCAGGATGCATATCTGACAGTCCCGATAGCGGCAATACACAGAGACCTACTCCAGTTCTGCTGGGGAACCAAGAAGTGGCGGTTCACATGCCTTCCCTTCGGTCTGTCCTCCGCCCCCTGGTGTTTCACGAAGATACTCAAACCAGTGGTGGCCTTCCTCAGACTACACGGAGTCCGCCTCATCATCTACCTGGACGAAATCCTCATACTCTCCGAGACATGGTCCCTTCTGCTAGATCACTTAAAGTGGACCCTACATCTTACCTGGGCTTCCTCGTAAACTGGAAGAAATCGGTTCTAATCCCCTTGCAACAAATGGAATTCCTTGGATTCCGAGTCGACTCCGTTCTACAGATCCTATGCCTCCCGGCGGAAAAGATGTCCAACATCAAAAAGGAGATAAGGAGACTTATGCACCGACCAGACATATACCTACACCAACTGGCACGGGTCATTGGCCTATTGGCAGCCTCTATCCAAGCGATTTTCCCAGGCCCGCTCCACTACCGAGCGTTACAGCGCCTGAAAGCGACCTGCCTATGAAGTGGCCACTCGTACGAATCTCACGTTACCCTGGACATGGAATCCAGGGAGGAACTGAACTGGTGGCTAACCCACATGGAGGCATGGAACGGCCGGGCGATCTTCGGTTCCACCCCAGACCTGGTGATAGAGTCGGACGCCAGCTTACATGGCTGGGGCGCGCGCAGCGGCTCTATACCCACAGGAGGCAGATGGTCCACGGAAGAGTCCTTCTTACACATAAAGTCTCTGGAACTGCTGGCGGCCTCGTTCGCCATTCGCAGTCTCTCACCCAAAGGCATCTCATGCTCAATCCTACTCAAGCTGGACAATGTCTCGGCGGTGCGATACATAAACCATCTAGGAGGGACCAAGTCCCGCATCCTAGCAGTTTTGGCCTGAAACTTCTGGAATTACTGTTTACAGAACAGTGTGTCCGTTACCGCGGAACACATCCCAGGCCTGGACAATTACACCGCGGATTGGAACTCCCGCTACTTGAGGGACTCGGGAGATTGGAGACTTCAACCGAGCCTGTTCCGCAAGATCTCACTCCTATGGGGACCTTTGAGCATGGACCTGTTTGCGTCCAGACTAAACACGCAACTACCGAGGTTCTGCAGCTGGCGGCCAGACCCGGAGGCCATAGCGACCGACCCATTCCTCCAAGATTGGTCCAAGGGCAGGGCATACGCCTTCCCGCCTTTCAATCTTCTAGCTCGTTGTCTAGCGCACCTCCAATGCCTCAAGAGCTCGTTGGTCCGGGTAACCCCATGCTCGAGATCCCAACTTTGGTTTCCACACCTATTGGAGATGGCGATAGACCACCCAAGGTTACTCCCAGACCATCCATCTCTACTGACCAACCCGGATGGGGAGAGCCACTCCCTAGTAGAACAAGGTCTTCTCCGCCTCATGGCATGGCTCCTTTCCGGGGACTCTGGGAAATCACAGAGGTTTTGAGCACAACTATGCAACTCCTGGCAAACGCATGGGCACCTGGAACACGACACGCATATACTGCGGCATGGAGACAGTGGGCCAATTGGTGCTTGGAACGATCGTTGGATCCGGTATCAGCCCCTGTGAAGCCGGTGTTGGACTTCCTGACACACCTGTTCGAATCAGGCAAGGCCTTCTGCACGGTCAACATATTCCGTTCCGCTATATCAGCTGGACATGACCAGGTGCACGGGCTCCCACTCGGACAGAACCCTCTATTCGGTCGCCTGCTCAAGGGAGTCCGCTTCTCAAGTCCCCCTGCATCCAGATATGGATTCTTCTGGGACGTCAACTGCGTGTTCAGACTCCTAAATGACTGGCCCTCTAACATAGAGCTGTCCTTTAAACAACTATCGGCAAAGCTACTTATGCTGTTCTGCCTATTATCCTGTAAACGGCTATCGGACGTAAGAGCCTTGGACTGGCGGGCCCGCACGTTCACTCCGGAGGGAGTGTCATTCGATATCTCACAGAGAACTAAATCAGCTACTAAACAGGTTTTCTATCAGAGAATCACGAGTTTACCCAACCTATGCCCAATATCATGCCTGAAGGAATAAGAGTCTCGCACCTCTACGCTACAGTCGTCCAACGACGCACCCCAGTTCATCTCCCTGAAGAAACCTCATCTACCTGTATCTACCCCGACACTCGCACGTTGGATCAAATGGCTGCTAGCTACTGCCGGGATTGATATGTCTCAGTATTCTCATCCCACTCCATCAGAGGCGCCATGGCCTCAAAAGCATCGGCGACTGGATGTCGCTTGGAAGACATTTTGAAGGCTGCAGATTGGTCTATGGAATCCACTTTCCGGAACTTTTACTTTAGACCTATACAACATTTTTCTGATAAGATTATAGCTCAGCTTTAAAATAGCATAATAGCACTGTTGAATATGTATATATGTTAATGATATGCTATTTTTCTCTTTTATACTAATTTCTCTCTTCGCTGCTGAGGGAAAATTAAAGAAAGAGAAGCATAATACTCACCTCCGTGTCATTAATAAAATCATGCCTTTACGTCATGCTAATAGTAAAATCAAGGAATTTTACTACAATATTTAGCAAAGATTGGTGATAAAATGACTATGTAGAAAGAGTCAAATAACATAAGGTAAATAGCCTGTGATATCTACTAAATATATACTTTTGTGTGGCAATTTTGTTTTCTGTGATGACTACTAAACTAAGAAACATATCTACTTCTAAAATTGTTTCATATTGCAATTTTATTTTAGTCCTTCTATTTTTGTATTGTGTTTTTAAAGCAGAAATTCAATACAGATTATGTACTCTATAAATCAAGACACATACATGAATTTAATTTTGAGTAACTTTTCCCAAAGTGGACGTACTATGCACATGTTATTGCCAAAACTGTGAAAAAAAAATGTTTAGTTTGTTTTCCATTTTTTGGCATTTTTTTTAAATTAATAAGAACTTATATATGTATATGTGACATTAAATTAAAGCCCCTTTTGCCCTCTAACAAATGGTATATAACTAGTGATGTCGCGAACACGAAATTTTCGGTTTGCGAACGGCGAACTTCCGCAAATGTTCGCGAACCGGGCAAACCGCCATAGACTTCAATGGGCAGGCGAATTTTAAAACACACAGGGACTCTTTCTGGCCACAATAGTGATGGAAAAGTTGTTTCAAGGGGACTAACACCTGGACTGTGGCATGCCGGAGGGGGATCCATGGCAAAACTCCCATGGAAAATTACACAGTTGATGCAGAGTCTGGTCTTAATTCATAAAAGGGCAGAAATCACCTAACATTCCTAAATCACAATGGATATGGATTGATACCTGACATATGACATATTGACACAGGACAGAATAGGGACTGTTCCCCCTACATAGGGTCACTTGGCAGGTATGGATTGACACCTGTCCTCAGAGACCATGATACACACTGACACAGAGCAGAATAGAGACTGTTAAAATACACGTAGAACTAAATAACATATATCTATATACATAAGTATATACTACTATATGTATACCTATATATAAATAAAAATAATTTTTAAAAAAAATGACAATTATATATACATATATATATATATATATATATATAATAATTTTACATTTATTACATATATATTTATGTAATAATTTTACATAATTAGGTCATTTTATTAATTACAATTTGCGGGACCTGCCTGACAACCCAGGCCGAAAGTATAGGGAATTTAATTTGCCTGCACTATATTTAAAAACCAAAGAAAAGAAAAAGTTACCTGCACTCTCTCCTTAATCTCCTTAATATTTAGAGGTCATTTAGTTGCTCCAATGGCCATTGGAGGGAATGCCCGTCTGCCAACGTCAAGGCAGACACTCCTAAGCGGGTCCTAACACTTACCCTTCAGTCTGCTTCCTTAAGCTTCTGGCAAAGATATCTCTAATGAGACAGAGAGGGGTATTTCCATATACACCCCTATATACTTATTAACCCCTAATAGGGAACACATGGGATGGGCGGCAGCATTGTAACAAGGCTGTGTGATACAAAGTAAATACAAATACAAAAAGAGAAGTCCTGCGCTCACTCCCATCACTACTGGGCAGGCAGCAATGACTACAGTACACATC